CCCGGGCTGGTTTGGTCACTGGGCAGGTGTCTTCTCAGAAGCTGGTTGAGCAGGGCGAGCTCATTCTGCCTGCTCTGAATTGTTTCTGAGGCAAGGCCTCGGAGGTGGAAGGCTTTGAGTTAATACAGGCACTCCACAACTTGACCAGGTCCTTCTTTCCCTTCTCTCGTTTTAAGAGCTATCTTCATTTTTCTGAGGAACTTTATTTATTTATTTGGTAGCCAAACAAGGAAAAAAAAAAGTTTGAGATTGATCTATTAAAAGCTTTATTATCTTAGAGTTTTAAGGGAATAAAGCCTAACAATGGTACCTTGAATTTCCTCTGTCCTACATAGGATATGAAGTAGCAAGAAAGAAAAGATCGGAGTAACTGTCTCAGTGCCGGTCCAAGGAAGATAGAAAGAAAACTCAAAAACAAAAGTTTACAGTAGCTGTTAAACAAACACAAAAGCCATGATCTGCAGGTTACCCCTTTGCTGGAAAAAAAACCACTGATGCCTGCATTATGGATTAACTTCAGAACATGTGAAAAACCCGAACTGCCACTTCTGAATGAGTTTCAGGAGCTTCACCAGACCTTGGTGCAAATGTTCGGCAGTCAGTGGGAGTCTGCTGGCTGACAGGGCTGGGTTTTGACCAGATCCCTGCAGAAGGCACCTACGTGGTGCCCTGCCACAGGAACGCACCCCGCTGCAGCTGGGCTTCTATGGCTTTGCCCAAGGGGACACGCAGTCAGCACATCGCTGAACATCACCGGGACGTGGGCAGTCATCACGCCAGGGCAGAACCCTCCATCAAGAACACCAAGGACTTGTGGTGTCTTAGTATTATTACTATACTTCACTTATGGATAACTTCCAATTTTCACTTCTCAGAATACAGCCCCCATCTCTGTAAAGCTTGCTCTCCCCATTCCTAAATACACAGCTTTATAACTCTGCATTTGTCCGCACTAACATGAACACAGAGATTTGTTTGCACAGGCTGAGCTCTGAGCAGCCCAGATTCCCCTTCATGGGTGCCCTGACCAGATCATGACCTGCCAATTTTTATGTCAGCCATAGATACTAGCAATGATTTTACCCCCTGTTGTTCACATGTGAAAACATAGGGAGCTGGGCCTCCTTCGATTCCCCACGTAACCACAGTAAAAACAGTCCCACTGAAATGATGTCCCAATAACAACCACTTTTTAACATCTGTCAGTAAGTAGCACTTAATCCATTTAAGGTGGGCTTTACAGATATTGTAGAGTGTTTATTTATTTATTTGTTTTTATCAGAATGTCACACAGTAGTAAGTCAAATGCTGTACAAATGCCTAAGTATATTACGTTTATATACACAATAAACCCACTATTTTATCACCACAGTTTTACAAGCTTCCTGAGCTGCTAAATTCTTTTCTATTTTTTAACATTCCATGTCCAAGTTTTCAACCTTGAACAGTAACTGAAAAAATGGAAATTAAATAATTTACCAGTTTCAGATTCTAACCAGTAAATTGCTGTGAATTTGTAACCGCACTATCATTTTCATTGTACTACATTGGCCATTTAGGTGAATGATAACCCAGGAGACAGCACCATGCAGGGCTAGCAAACAAGTAAATCATTTAGATTGCACACTGCTTTCAACTGCAAAAGGGGCAGTAAATCTGTCCTGCCATTGCCTTCTCTTTTGTTGAATTTTCAGGATGGTGCAGTCTTCTCATTGAAACAAATAAAAAAAAATTCTACAGATTTAATTTATTGTCTGGGTTTTGAGCATAATGACTAAGGCTGACCAATACAAGTCAATGCGCCTAGAAGAATAGGTTTAGTCATTTAAGATCATGCCAGATAAAACATTCAGCTAGTTTTAAGCATACAAAGAAAATTCTGGTTACAGCATGGCACCATCTAATGGCTTTGGCTTTAACTGCAAGATCTCTCCATAGCTCTAAGTTGTGGAAGTGCAAACTGCCCTACTACACTTATTCTGCTCACATGTCCCTCCGTCTATCATAGTCACATAGAGGAAAAAAAAAAAAGGAAATAACAGTCAATTTAAAATATAAATCTGAGCAGGCAACTTACATGATAGAAGAAACTACAACCTATTTTCAAACCACAGCTGAATATTTTAGTTCCAAGATAAATATTTCAATACAAACAAAATTTATCTATACAAACAGTGCACTGTTGTCTACATACATAAATATCAGTATTCCACAATTTCAGAACTTATCACTATTTATTTTAGTACTTTTTGAAAAAAGTACACTTTTGTTTTCTATTATCCTGCACAGCGTAACATTACATTTCTTTGAAAAATATACCCATAAGGACAAAACTTCATTTTCGATTTATGTTTTGATTTTGTTTGTTTGGCAGTAAGTTAGAAGTAGGTAGGAGACCATCAAGACTCTGGGATTGCATTCCCATCTGCTGGTGACTTGCTGTATCATACTAATATTAATTTGCCTGCATGAAAACTGTTTTCATTGCAAGTGTGGAAATGCTAACATTAAAATTCCTCATAAGAATGTCCAGGATTTATTAATCTTTGAAGTACAGTAAGAACTAAAACAGTAAGAGATACAATGACCAGCATTTATGCACTGAACGGATACAACATAGTATTCAAATGAAGATTTCTGCCTAAGTGTAGTTTAAGAAAACAATTGGCATTTAGATATTGACAAAAAATAAGTTGTACATAAGAAACTTAAAAGTGAAAGGCACCAAAACTTTACTGTTCCATTAGTTCTACATAGTTAAAACACAGTTTGAAGCTAAGAAAATACTCCTTTATGGTGAGGGTGGCTGACCCAAGGACAGGCTGCCCAGAGGGGCTGCAGGTTCTCCATCCCCAGAGATCTTCAAAACCAGACCGGGGACAGCTCTGGGCTGCCAGCTCTGGCTGTCCCTGCTCTGAGCGGGTTGGACTGGCTGATCTCCAGAGGTACCTTCCCACCGCAGCCGTCCCGTGGTTCTGTGATTCCCTAGGATTTGTACTGCCACTTTGGAAATGAAACTCAAAACCTCAGCACAGAATTGCACTGTGTTCATCTCCAAGTCCCGTGCTTATCTTCCAAATCTCATGAGATTTAGCAAAGTTCCCCCTCTTATAAATATTTAGCATAATATCTGAGGCTAGCCAGGGAGTGAACAACTGGAAAGACTTACTACTGAATCTGTAACAACCTCAATGGCTCCAAAGACAAGCTAAACGTAATGAAACGTAATGAAAATGTTTCAAGTCACTATAGTGGAATTTGGTCACAGCTGGTATAATCCATATTACACAGATCTGTTCACCTACAAAAATAACCCTTTGGGGGGAAAAACAAATAAACAAACAAACCTATAAAGTAATTCAACTGTTCTCACATACTGAAAATGCACTTACAAGTGTCATTAAATGAAAAAACAATTTTAGAAGAGTGAATAAAAGTACAAAATGAAGTGAAATAGAGATAGATCTGATCAATGCTTTCCCTTTATATCCATTAGAGAGAGGCAATCAGATCTCTTTCCTACCTTTCCCTCCATAAAAACTTTCACATGTTCCACTCATGCGCAGATAATCAGTTATTTTTATGATTTCTGCTGGATTAGATCCTATTCATATCACTAATGCAAAAGCATTTCCTGACTCAGCGACAATTCTGCTGTCCCCTTTTATGATCCTAGCATGGATCTGTTGAGAAGCGCAGATGGTTCTGAATCATATTTTAAGCTGTAAGATGTGTACGAACACACGCACTTTGGCAAATCCTCAGGACACCATGACAATGCATTTGTATAAGATTCCTGCTGAAGACTGTTGTAAGCCTGGAGCCTGAACACAGTTTTGAAGCCTGTGCTTCAGGGCTGCAAGAATGCATTTGTCCAACCCGCAGAAAACCTAGGTACAAACAAGGAGCCACTATTCACTACTATGAATACCACTGCTGTGTCAGGCACTGAACAGCTGTGATCACAGCCACTTGGACACTGTAGCACTCAAGTACCGCGACCTGCATAGAAAAGGTCTAACCAAGTCTCAAATATTCTGTTATTACTGTAAGGGTAGATACAGTATTTGAACATAAATACCTTTTTAAAACCCCAAATGAAAATGGATTGTACTAGGAGTATCTGTCTGCAGAGAAAACCAAACATAAAATAATTCTGACTATAAGTTCTGACTACAGATTCTTGCAATCAGCATACAAAAGCCCTCTGGCAAAATTTAAATCTAAATGCAGACATAGTTCTTGTTTACAGGGATAGCTGTAAAAGCAAGAAACAGAAACAACAGCCTGAGGCACTGACAAGTTCTTTCCAGCTGGAAAACCCATGCACATAAGGTAAGCTACTTTACCAGGTAAGCAGAGTGATAGATTTACCATGCACTTTACCGATATACAAAATACACAACCAAAGACGGCCACAGGATATATACCAGGGAAATAAGGGAGAAGAGAATGACGTGTTTCTTCAAATGAATAAATACAAATTGACAGCTCAGACTAGAAAATATCATAAAGAGTAAAGGGCAGCGGTTTAAAGATCACTTAAAAAAGAATATAAGAGAAAGAGTAGGCCATGGTAAGATTTTAAGAGAAGTGAACTATGTTATTTGTGTAAAGAAATATGGTCTAGTTGAGGTATGGAAAGTGACCACAAAGTCTACTGGGAGACATTCCCATCTGAGTAGTTTTTATGCTTACAGCCTAATATGTTTAAAATATGTATCTAGCCATATCTTTTAAAATATCCATATCAACTTTTACCAACATTGCCCCTGATTATTTTATCATATACTTTCTGTTAAGAAAAAAAAAAAAAAAAAGATAAAACAGCGACTAATTACATGTTGTTGTTTTTTCAAACTTCAATCTCCATATGCAGAGATTGCAGTGTCTTTGACGACAGTTCAGAAATCTTGGAGCTTCTCTATCTCTACTCCTCTATTTCCTATATAGGAAATCTCTATTTCCTATACCACATCAAAGTCATACGTAAGTGGAGGTGCAGCAAGAGAAAGTACTGCCTCCCTGCATTTTGACTTCACTCTACTATGCCCTATGGCTTTGTCTGACAAAGGTAAATCATGGTGAAAAAATTATTTTTTCTCTTCAAACTAACCCCCCACAGCTCAGATTATTTTTTCCTCTGTGAAAACAGCAGCACTGTGGCCACTTACTGTATCTGCTTTTTATACTTTTGTCTCCATGGAACATCACAGTGCTGCAGGTCGTGCACAGCGTCCTGGTGGAATACGATGGGTGGTTCAGCACTTCAGTAGGACAGAGCTGCCACAGGTCACCGCTTACATACGCTAATAAAACAATGCATGAAAAAGCATATGGGGCTTCTCATTCAAAGGCTGGCTTGCAGTCTTTCCAATATTAGGAACATTAATACCCACAAGAAAAAGGTGATCTACTGTTAGAGCTTTAGCTCTTTTTTGTAGTCCCTTCTTAGAATGTGAATAACACGGTGCTTGGCTCTTTTCAAGGCAAGTCTGCTAGAGAAAAACTCCTTCACCTGTCTACCTGATATTAGTATGTTTAACCTTGACATACCTTTCTCTTCCCAAATCACAGATACACAACATGATCAAAACTGGTGCTTTTTAAGAATATGATAGTTTGTTGTTAAAGAAAATGAAGCTAAGAAACTGAAGGTGCTGCTACTGCACAGTTGCATTCTAGTGGTACCCTGAAGCTACAAAAAGGTGTTATGGTTGAAGTATGGAATAAAACCTGGGAAATTAGCAGTAGATCCTTGGTTTGCATTCCTCCAAATTTGATTCTCTTCCTCTCTATCACATTCCCCAAATAGTCTATCTTTGCCAGCTTTTATTTGTGTGACCCTGTATGGCTGAGAAAGAGGGAGATGGAATGCAGATTCCAAAAATAGGGCAGAAGAGAGAAGCAGCATAAAAGCAGAAGTAGGAGAAAGACAGTAGTTGCAAAAGAATTTCAGCCTATCTTAGTTCATTTCAGAGAAAAATGGTAAATCACCTGCCAGTCCCTAACAAAAATGCTTGAATTCTTTGTAAGAGAAGGAAAGACACAACCCTACTGAACTCATGCAAGAAATACAAGACTGATAAACTTGTTTTCAGAATCCTTAGGTTTAGTGTATGCAGTAATGAGAGTAACTGCATAAATGGATGTGGGTTTTATTAATTTATTTGTAGGAGAGGAAAATATGGTACTTGGCAATGGCTAAATATTAGGCTAGCATTAAAAGAATGGAAAAAGTTTTACCATTTGGTACACATAGGAGAAAACAGAACTCAGATCCAGATTCAGTGGCATTATGGATTGCCTTGTGTTTAGTGGAAATATTTGTAGGGATGCATCCCTTTTGCTGACTTTGAAATGTGCCTTTAATGAAATTCTTCCTTTTCCCTTAATCCATCCATCAAGCTTGATAGCAAAGAGCAGACCTTTCAGCAAATAACACACCTTCCTTTCTGCATAAATTAGGCTCATCTGACCGGACAATCTTCATCCAGGGGTTGAATAACCTGGTTCTGCAAATATTACCCACTCCACTTTTTAAATTATAACCTCTGCTCTTCCCTGTTCTGTAGAAACATGTCACATCCCATTGAAGTGCTAAGTAGAGAGAAGGAAAGATGCAAATCACAGTTCATACTGCAAGGAAGTCACAGTTTAGTGGGGTATTTGGAGTGCACACTTCCCAGTACCTATTTGCTGCTCCCTCCTGACTTGCTAACCAATTTAGCTTGCTCAGTGTCTCAGTTTACCAGTTAAGAAAGTGACCAAAACCAGTACATTATTAACATGCACAGCAATGCCTCCACAAACAACGACAAAGCCCCCACTTCAACAAGCTTATTCTGAGATTCAATGAACATAATGTGCAGAAAACATTTTTATTGCTTAGTTCAAAGTCAGTAGCTAAGTGAAAAGCTATTTTGTTTTAACAACAGGAACAATAATCTCTGTGGACAGACACATAAGCAGAAAATTTGTTTCTCTCAGGAGCTAGTTTTACTGTGGCAGTGTGAGAATAGCCACCATGCATTTTAATCAAACCTGGTTAGCACTCCTTGTTTAGGAAAGCAGTGATCGTTCTTTTCATGGAGCTCTTGCAGCTATGGGGTTTTCCAGACTGGTTTGTTCTGGTGTCACTGAGCCGCTCTGAGATAAGGCAGAGATGTGAGAATGCTTTCTGCTTCCTCTTGTCACAGATTTAAGCCACTCATTCTGGCAAGCCAGACAGGAGGGATTCTCTGTGTATGTGTGCCACTGAAGTGCTCCAGCACTTATCCAATCAATCAATACCACAGATCACACGAGATCCCAGCAGCTGTGAGGACTGCGTGTATCTGTACAGACAGAGAAAGTCTCATTCAAGTAAGGATGCAGCACTATTCCTTCCAACACAATCAGCCCTCCTAAATGCATACACTCCTAGCTTGACAGCTCACCAAAACCAGTGCATCTCCTCTAGGTCCATATGGCCTCCTGGACTCATGAGATGTTTATACCATGAAAGAGCCAGGAGGGGCCCACGCTCAGGCACTAGGAAATGGTGGTAACCTGAGAGGAGGCAAAGCAACCTGCTGCCCGCAGGTGCTGCTTGAATGGCCAGGCTCTGCAATACTCTTTTTGTAAGCAAGCTATCTTGAAGTACCTGGTGTATCGTTACTGTCTTATCTAGCACAAATCAGATACTCTGCACTTGCATAGAGTACCTTCATGCTGCTTGCATGTCTATCTTCTGCTACTGACTGTCCCCATAACTCCAGTGACACACAACCCGTCTTAGAAAACACTTCATTCCATCCTGATTTGCTAATTGAATTTTCTATTTCTCAGTATATTCTGTGACATTATAATAAATCAATCATTTGACCAGTTAAATGGGGAAAAATACATTTTTCCTTCATATGAAAAGATGCCATTCTAACGAATGTCTGTGCAAGTCTGATAAACCTCCTAGAACAGAAACTACACCATATCTACGCAACCAGAACAGTAACAGCTTCTCAGCAGCGATTATCTGTAGCTTCTCCTCCCTATTTTGCACGATGGTATCACCACTGCTGATCCTGTACTCTTCCTCAGGAGTGCTGTGTGTTACCTCGACTGACCTCCCTTTTTTTTTTCTAAGCGCTCTCCCTCCACAAAGCTCTCCAGCTCACCTCCTTCCTCCTGGCCTCGTGATAATAATGTTATATAAGTAATTCTGTCTCACTACAATATATTCTCCAGCTTACATTTCACTATGCTGTTTATCTCTCAGACTGAAAAATCTTACGTTATAAAAAGTAACTCAGCCTAAGCACTTTATATGTGGTTCTCTGTATTTTCTTGCTGTGATGATTTACCCCGAGAATCTGCTGCACTAAAGATGAGTTCAGACTATGCATGCACTACCAGCTGAAATACTTTCTCCCATATTTACTTTCTAGGAAGCAAAGGATGAGAATAACACAGAGGGTCTGATAGTTTACATCAACAAACCTGACTGTACCAATTAGCATCAAATGTAGATGAGTGGTTTGAAAACGATACTAAAATGAGTGTATATATTATATACAAGCTTCAAGTTCCATGAACCAAAGATTTTCAGTTTTGGCTTCACTGCAGAACTGAGTTTTAGATTAACTGCCCATACCCACGCCAAACTCCTACCTTTTTATTCCAGCTGGATGGCCTTGCAGGGGAGTGAGCAGATATTGTCAGCTGCCAACACAGTCGTGCTTTACAGTAATTCAGTAAATTTTCATAGGCGGTATTTCTTCAGTCTGCACTTGGACTAGGCTAATTAGAGGGAATTTAACGTAGACTGATACTACAATGAATACAGCAAAGCTGAAGGAATTGCAGATACCATCATAATTCATCTGTCTATGAATGAACTAGCAAACAAGGCACTAAGTACACTCAGTGCTTACCAACTCCAGGCTCTTAAGACTCATTTCTAGTGGCATAATTTTCAGACAGATGATATAACATACAAGGAAATGACTGCATGGAATGAAAGAGTTTTAGATGGGTTTTACATTACTTATCTAGGAAGAGTGTAAAAAATTATGTGTTAAAGTTATGTCTTAATGAAAATCTTGGGTGAAAAGCTGACATCCAACGTTTATAAATAAACCATTCATGACTGTTAGCGGGGGGGAAAAAAGGCAAAAAGCATTTTATAAGAGGGAAAAATAGAGTACAAATGGTGCAAAAATTATGCTTCTAGGCTTTATCAGTAGTGTCCCATGGCATATGAGACATTCTGAACAAAGCTGAGTTACTACATTTTAGTTTAATTTTTTACAATTCTTAGCAGAATTCTAAGGACAGCGTGATAACCAGCAGGCAGGACGGTAATCTGTTCTGGCTGAGCAGCACAGAGCCTCCCTGAGCAGGCAGCTCCCTCACCCAGCATTATAACTACTCAGGAATGTGTAATTCTCCATGTAACGTATATACAAAGCTAACTTGTATACATTACAACGGTGTCTGCTTGAGATGATTCTGAACTTCACCTCTGATTTTCCCCCTAACTCTACTCCAGCATTACCAGGAAACGGAAAGGGGCCAGATATCGAAGAGGACAGCAGCACAAAGAAGGCCATACCATCAACTCAGATATAACGATGCGTCACTTGTGGAACTTTAAATAGATCTTAAAATTCATGAAAAAAAATTTGCTGATGTGAAGTTTCACTTCTACAGTCTTCTGTGAAGCATACGTCAGCGGGACTTCTGTGATGAGCAGCTCTAGTAAGCGGGCACTCCAAAGGGTTCCGCTCTACTTGTGCTGTGCCAATTGCGTAGAAGCCTGACAGACCGCCGAGGGATGACTGTAGGTATGTAACACTGGAAAGGGGTAGGAGATAATTAATTATTTTCCACAACCTTTCTCTCCTTTCGCTCCCAATGGGACGATTTTGCAGTGACACAATGCAGGGTTTGTACTCCCCATTAGGAGAGCCTGGAAGAAGCTAACGGGCCGCTGGGTACCTAATCAGCCTCTCCCAGAGGCGAGCAAGGGACTTCAAAGGAGGAATGCAAAGGGATGCAAAAGGAAGAGCCCTGCTTAATTAGTGTGCAGCTAAGAGAGGGGCAGGCTTGCTGGAAGACACAAGGCTAACTGCTCCCTGTTACAGTCCCTTGATGGAGAGGTAAGCCTGGCAAATACATTCACTTTTTTGGCTGCCAACATTCAGCTTCAGCTTGCCTGAGTCCTGGCAGCATGGACATTTTTTCTGTATTAGTTGTTCACAGAAAGGAACAAAGAACCTGCTGTCAATACATCCCAGAAGCAAACCAAAATGGAGCTGCTCTGTACATGTAGGTCAAGTTTTACATATGCCAAGTGGCAGAGGCTGCACATTTTTAAAATACAGCTTTTTTAATCCCTTTGTCTGGTCATGCTGGGAGGTGCCCAAGTGCTGGGCGGGCAGTGGAAGGACCAGGGGAGCCCTGGCAGAGCTGCAGGTGGCAGTGTGCTGGGGAAGGGAGTGAGGACAGGGTCCCAGGTGCACCCACCACCAGGCACGCTGCACAGAGCGGTGACAATTCAGGTGTTCTTCTAATGAACAGTAAGCAGCAAAGGGTTTTTAAGCAATATCTTCACGTAACCTTTGTGCTTTTCTAATAAAAGGCATGGAAAGGTTGACTTTTGTCTTGATAGATTTTCTTAGATTTTTTCCTTGCTTTCTTTTTCCCTAAGCAATATCAGAAACTAAATCTGGTCCTCAGGGACTTGCCTGTGAGAGCTGGATGGCAACCGAGAAGAGGAATATGTTCTAAGATAAATATATAATCCTAAGAAGCTCATAAATAAATACTTTATAAAGTACAAACTGAACCTGAATTTATCTTACAAAATTCATAGTTCACAGAACTGTGAGCCACAGACACTTCATCCGCATCTTTGCAAGTAATTAAAAGATAACCAAGATAATTTTTAATGCATATAGGAAAACATGCCTGCAACTTAACTGTCTTTAGCAGAAAGATTATGAGAAAAGATTGTCCCTGAAGAAGCTTGTAATAAAGAATGTCACTACCAAAACAGCCGTTTTCCTCCTAAGTGTTTTAGGTATGTGTATAAATGCCTATATTTAAATAAAAATATTTGTCCTCTTTGTGCTACAATCAATTTTAATTTCAAGTGTTCTCCCTCCCTTTTTCTCCAACTGCATCTCAGATCAAAGTTAGTATGACTACCTACACCACTGGTAACAGAATATACCATTTGAGTACAGAGACCAATACTTTCTTAGAAACCTTTTAATTTCTTGCTTGCATCTTGCTGTGTTGGAAACAAAGGAGATTGATTTGTCATAATGCCCAGGAGAATACACGGCATCAACAGCTGAGGAGAAGGACACAGAAGCTTTGGAGACATTGAAATAACAAACACAAGAGCTTAAGAACTGCATCTATACAGTCTGCTTGTGTTATGAAACCCACTCACGTCTAGAGGATACCACTTTGTTTTCAAAGACCAAATGAAGTGCACAGTCAGATTTATTATATGCTTCAAAAAGAAGAGAGATGCTCTCTGAATAGGGAATCCATGCTCAAACACACAGCAAAACAAATGTACAATTTTGCCTATTTCACATTCTTCATACTGAGTATGAAGTATACACACGAGCCTTTTTATGCAGGTTAATTCATAGATGGGAAAACAAAACTTGTGTTAATAACAGAAATTATAAAAGCTCAAACCCTTAGAACAAAGCCTTTAAAAGAAAGAAGAATCAAAATTTGCTGCTTACCACAGGATAACAAAGAAAGAAAACATAATAGCGATGTGGTGACAATGGCTGTTTCTTCATCTTAAGTCTAAACTAGTAGGGCATGATCGACATATTATAAAAAATAAAGAACACAATAGACAAAAAAGGCTAAAAATGGAAAGATTAATTGCCATCTCTCTTAATATTTACTATAAGCTTTTTGACAATCAAGGGCTTTCTGTAGAAACAGCCAGCTCGTGGGTCTTAAAACACAATGAATTTAACCTAATTTGGAAATGTATGGTCTTTGTGTTAAAACACAGAAAGGAAGGAGAAAAGCATCATGATCTAAAGAGGCTAAAGGAAAGATAACACGAGGAGAGTACTGTTAAAACTGGACGAATTATATTTTCATTTAGTACAGACATAAATTTAACATGAAGACTGCCTTTAAATCATAGCCTATAAGTAAACGGAACAGGCAGCCTCTTAATCTATATTAGCTTCAGGTTTTTCAAAAGGATATTTTTACCATTAAAATTTTAACTTCTATCATTATGTATTCACTTTTCACTTTATTCATTTGCTTATACTAAATAGTGGAGAAAAACTAGACTGAGAATGTAAAAAATCAAGATGGCCATTTAACATCTTTTCCTGAAACACTAGTCTTGTGACAAACTACACACAATGTAAAGCTAAAATCTCCCAATTTAAGAATGTATTTTGCCCCTTAAACAAAATGAATATAATATACACAAAGTTGTGATATGAGATTTCATTTTAAAAAACATTGCTTTGCTCTCCTAGCTGTGTCTTAGGAGGGAATCTACTTTCTTTCATAGATATGGCTCCTTCAGAACTTGCCTAATAAATTAAGGACCTGCGCCTTACTGGAAAAGTCCTTCAGGGTCCCTTGGCAAGTTCAGTAAAACTAGGAAAATTAAATGCAATACCCGGCAAAGTTGCAACTCCAGATATTAGAATTTGTGCATTTAAAATACCAACACACTTTCAGTTTCGTACAGTGATGGTTCCTGAAGGTCTGTTCCAACAGACTGCTGTCAGCGCCGTGTATTTGTTGAAGGCCACCGTGCCCAGTTCCCACCGGCGTTTTAATTGGAAGCAGATCCGCTTCGGGCTGCTCCTGGTAGCATCGCTGGAAGCACAGGCCTCTCTGCTGCCCATTTCCTGTTCTGTTGTATTTCTAGCATCAATGCAAGGCAAACCTTAAACAATCCAGAACTTTAGCTTTTCTAATCAACTGAAAGCAACGTTAAGAGTAAAAAATTTAAATGCCTTCCTGGGGAAAGCCTTGCTTGCATTTCACTCCCCTGTATTCCTCAAAAAAGGCATCCATACACAAGCACACAAAATCAATAAATACATATGCAGAAAGAAGAGCAAAAATAGACACAAAACACCAGTGTCAGCAAATGCAAGTAAGAAAATATGCAACTCTTACTTGGTTAAAAAAAATCAGATCAACATGAAATTTCTTTTTAACAGCTTTTTAGATGCCTATTACTTTGGATTACAAAAGCTGTAAAATTGTTGAAGTAATTCCTATCATTAAAACATATATTTAAATTTATATTTAAATTTGGAACACCCATTCAGCCACCAGCCATTGTAGGTCTATCGTCTGCCTAACTATAATGAATGACTATTTAAATACAACAAAAAGATAAAACTCTCTATTGGAAAGGATCCTTGTGCAGTTCATTTGATGCCATGGCCCACTTCCAACTAACAAAAGGTTGAACAACTAACAGCACCCCCCAGAAATACTGCTGTTTCACAGCTTTCAATCCCAAATCCTGCCTTTGAAAATCTGGGAAAACAATCATCACAGCGTGGCCTTAAAAAGATCAAATCCAGTCTCCAATGGCAGAGCTGGGGAATTCTCAGCTGTATCACAGCTCAAGTGTCCTCTCGTACAAATCACTGCTGTCCTAGGGAAATGAAATCTTTCAGGTATCAAGGTCAAAATACTCGGATTAACGCAGTAGCTAACCATGTTACATTTCACTGGAAGGGCACAGGGGAAAAAAGGCATCATTGACCCACCATTTCTTCAGGGTGATGATCTTACAATTCAAAGTAACCCATATTTTCCAGAAATAACCATAATTCTTGATTGCAAAATGACGACTCGGTCAATGAACCTGTATTTCATGCTTAAAATAACTTCTTTACGAAGCGTGTGCCTCTTTTGTGATTTCAAGGAAACTACGTGTAGAAGAGTGCGAAGATCAACAGTCAGCAAACAGTCAAAAAGTTTCCTGATGATTAATAAGCACCTTTGAAGTAGCCTCCATCAATATTGTTATTTCTGGAATTCCAAGTATGAACTCTGCAAACAGCCAGACTACACATTTCTATTCAGTGGCAATAAATGTCAGCTAATTTGGTACCAAGTACAACAGGATATTATTGTTTATGTATGGTCTTTATCTCACAGTTAAGGGAAAATCTGCCAAATTCCACAAGTTATTTCCCCATTGAAAGGAATTTTAGAAATAGATGGAGGCACTGTGTCAGTGTGTAGTTTTCTATTTTTTTTCATTGGAATAAAAATGTCATCCTTGCAAAATATACTTCAGTTCTGAATAGATTCATTAGCCTTTCGTGTTTGATCTTAATTTGATGACAAAGACATTAAATGGATGTTGCATTATACTGAATGTAGTTTTGACAATGGGTTCATTCACCCATTGTAGTTTCTAAGAGGAGGTCCTTGTATTAAAATGGCTTAAAGATTCAAAAAATCATCTCAAAAGGTGATTAATTAACACGTTAGCTTAAAGAAATCCTGTCACATTCATTTGAAGTTTCTTTCTTAAAAAAGAAATCAAAACACATTTGTGCATCGCAACACCACTGGCTGGCCTCTGTGAAATCACAGTGTATAAATTACAAAGCAAGCTTTTTCACAGTAAACACAGAGCTGTGGACAAATCACAACGATGTCCTCTTCGTCCCTAGAGCAGAGCAGAACTAAATGTATCTTCAAAATGTTCGAGAACTGTTACTTTTTTATTATTATTTATTTTAACTATACTGCAGCAGTAGTTGTTTCAAACTTCCTATCGTACAATCATGCTGGAAACTGACTATTGCAAA